ACGCCCCCCGCTCACCTGTCCACGCCCCCTGCTCACCTGCCACGCCCCCGCTCACCTGTCCACGCCCCCGCTCACCTGTCCACGCCCCCTGCTCACCTGCCCACGCCCCCCGCTCACCTGTCCACGCCCCCCGCTCACTTGTCCACCCCCCGCTCACCTGCCCACGCCCCCTGCTCACCTGTCCACGCCCCCTGCTCACCTGTCCACGCCCCCTGCTCACCTGTCCACGCCCCCCGCTCACCTGTCCACGCCCCCTGCTCACCTGTCCACGCCCCCTGCTCACCTGTCCACGCCCCCTGCTCCCTGTCCACGCCCCCCGCTCACCTGTCCACGCCCCCCGCTCACCTGTCCACGCCCCCTGCTCACCTGTCCACGCCCCCTGCTCACCTGTCCCCGCCCCCGCTCACCTGTCCACGCCCCCCGCTCACTTGTCCACGCCCCCTGCTCACCTGCCCACGCCCCCCGCTCACCTGTCCAAGCCCCCCGCTCACCTGTCCATGCCCCCCGCTCACCTGTCCACGCCCCCCGCTCACCTGTCCACGCCCCCTGCTCACCTGCCCACGCCCCCGCTCACCTGCCCACCCCCCCGCTCCATGCCCCCCGCTCACCTGTCCACGCCCCCTGCTCACCTGTCCACGCCCCTCCCTTGGGTGTCCAGGTCCAGAACCCCAAGCACGAGGCGGTGCTCAAAGCGGGCGAAGTCGTAGCGGCGCGGCTGGACTGCGGAGAGCAGGAAGGCGTCGCGGGGTTCGAGCCCTTCTCGGCGCAGGGCCTCCTCCAGGTGGCCCCTTGCGCGCCGCTGCCACTCTTCCTCCTCCTGCTCCTCCTCGGGGCCCCGCCCCCACAGCCCCGCCTTGCGCCTCTGGGTGTGGCTCTGGGCGTCGGCGCCGCTGCGGACCAGGAGGAGGGCGGCGCGGGGGGCGGCGCGGCGGAGGGCGCCCAGCGGGGACCCCAGTTCCTCCCCCTCGTCCTCCGGCCCCGCCACCAGCACCAGGCAGCGGAAGGAGGCCAGCGAGAGCGGGGGGTGGGCGGGCGAGGGGAGGGCGCCCAGGTCGTGCAGGGCCAGCTGCGGGAAGTGGCGGTGGGGCGCGGGACCCTCGGGGGGCCCGTCTTTGCGGCGGAAGAAGGCCCTGGCATCGGTGGAGGGGAAGAGCGGCTTCCCGGACAAGGCCCGCACCAGCCAGCTCGTCCCGGACCCGCGTCGCACCCCCACGAAGCCCACCCGAGCCTCCGGGAGCCAAGGGGAGGGGGCGGCCGGTTCCGCCTCGCAGCACGCCGCCATCCCGAGAGTGGGGGAGGGGGGGGGGGCAGAGAGAGAGACGGAACCACCGACGGAGAGGCAGGCAAGCGGGGAGGCGCCTCCTCTTCCTGTCCTCCCCCCTTTCCGCAGTGCGGAGAAGCCTCCTCCCCTTCCTGCCCTTCCCCCCCCCCAAAGCCTTCCTCAGATAGAGAGAGAGGGAGGGAGGGGGTCTCCTTCGCGTCTCCCTTCTTTGGCGGGGAACGGCGTCGGGGGGCGAGCCCCGGCTTTCCTGAGAGAGAGAGAGGGGGGGGGTCTCCTTCCCGTCCTTCCCGACTCCCTTCTTTGGCGGAGAATGGCGTCGCGGGGCGAGGCTTCGGTGGTGGTGGCGGGCCCCCCGGGGGCGGGCAAGACAGCGCTGCTGGACGCACTGCTGGGGGGCCAAGAGGAGGAGGAGGTGAAGAAGAAGCCTGCTCCAAACGTGAAGCCCCCCTCGCTGCGTCAACACCCCCAGCGCCCCAACTGGCTCTTCTGGGAGCTCTCCCTCCCGGAGGAGGAGGAGGAGGATGAAGAGGGCGAGGGGGGCTCGGCGGGGCGCTGGGTGGCCGAGGCGGAGGCGGCGGCGGTGGTGCTGGTGGCCGGGCGGCGGGGCCACTTCGGGGCGAGGGCGCGGAGCTTGGCCCGGGAGGCGCGTGCCGCCGGGAGGAGCGTCTTCTTCGTCCGGAGCCGCGCCGACTTGGAGTTGCACACCCTCCGCCGCCTCCTCCTCCTCCTCCTCCAGCCCCTCCCCTTCGACCGCCCCCAGGCCCTGCTCGCCCTCCGGGAGGTCACCCAGGAGGAGGTGGGCCAAGAGGAGGCCGGAGCCGTCTTCCTGGTCTCGGCCCTGCAGCCCCGGGACCTCGACCTGCCCCGCCTCCGGGACGCCCTCCACGCCCAGCTCAGCGCCCAAGAGAGGTGAGCAAGGACGGACACACACACACACACACACACACACACACACACACACACACACAGATGTTGACTCTTCTTAATTGGTGTTATGTTGACTTCCTCCTTAAGGTAATGACCTTGTAGACATTTCCTTAACTTCCACACAGTTATATCTTGTCTTAGCAGACAGGTTCTTTTAATCAGATACACAGAGCCTTCAGCAAACACCATCACAGCCTAGGGAGAGAGAAAGACTACACTGTACATGACTTCCTTATATACAATTCTGTACATTTACACATAGCAATCTCCGATTGGTTCCCAACTCATTGACTTAACTCAAACCCAGGATTATTATTATTATTTATTTATTTATTTACTTTGCTTCTATACCGCTGTTCTCAGCCCGAAGGCGACTCACAGCGGTTCACAACAATAAGAGACAGCAGAAATTCAATGTACAATATAAAAACAGTTAGCAGTCTAATCCATTACACAATTAATAACAATAAACAATTAGCGATTACTGCAGTAGCCAATCACTATCATCTCATCATCAAAAACATGATCCAAATTCGTCATCCATTGATCCATTCCAGTGTTCATTAACCAATCATTGCACTAATTGTTCGAACGCCTGTTCAGATAGCCAGGATTGCATCATTAACACTCATTTGGACCAGGCCAGAACACATTCCCCAATTGAAGTCCTATATACAGTTAAGGCATGACTCAGCATTTCCGAGAGAAGCCCATTAGCAGTGCATGACTCAGCTATATTGCATTACAATACATTGTAAAACCTGACAAGATATGATAGTCATGTATAAATATGTGAGAGGAAGCCACAGGGAGGAGGAGGGAGCAAGCTTCCTTTCTGCTTCCCTGGAGACTAGGACGCAATGGCTTCAAACTACAGGAAAAAAAAGCATGACCCAAACAACTACCGTCCGGTCAGCCTCACGTCGATACCGGGCAAGATTCTGGAAAAGATTGTTAAGGAAGCGGTCTGCAAACACTTAGAAACAAATGCAGTCATCGCTAAGAGTCAACATGGATTTATCAAAAACAAGTCATGCCAGACTAATCTGATCTCTTTCTTCGATAGAGCTACAAGCTGGGTAGATGCGGGGAATGCCGTGGATGTAGCGTACCTGGATTTCAGTAAGGCCTTCGACAAGGTCCCCCATGACCTTCTGGCAAGGAAACTAGTCCAATGTGGGCTAGGCAAAACTACGGTGAGGTGGATCTGTAATTGGTTAAGTGGACGAACACAGAGAGTGCTCACTAATGCTTTCTCTTCATCTTGGAAAGAAGTGACAAGTGGAGTGCCGCAGGGTTCCGTCCTGGGCCCGGTCCTGCCCAGGATCTTTATTAATGACTTAGATGAAGGGCTAGAAGGCAGGATCATCAAGTTTGCAGACGACACCAAATTGGGAGGGATAGCCAATACTCCAGAGGACAGGAGCAGGATTCAAAACGATCTTGACAGATTAGAGAGATGGGCCAAAACTAACAAAATGAAGTTCAACAGTGACAAATGCAAGATACTCCACTTTGGCAGAAAACGAAATGCAAAGATACAGAATGGGGGACAATGCCTGGCTCGAGAGCAGTACGTGTGAAAAAGATCTTGGAGTCCTCGTGGACAACAAGTTAAACATGAGCCAGGAATGTGATGTGGCGGCAAAAAAAGCCAATGGGATTTTGGCCTGCATCAAGAGGAGCATAGTGTCTAGATCTAGGGAAGTCCTGCTACCCCTCTATTCTGCTTTGGTTAGACCACATCTGGAATATTGTGTCCAATTCTGGGCACCACAATTCAAGAGAGATATTGACAAGCTGGAATGTGTCCAGAGGAGGGCGACTAAAATGATCAAGGGTCTGGAGAACAAGCCCTATGAGGAGCGGCTTGGGGAGCTGGGCATGTTTAGCCTGAAGAAGAGAAGATATGATAGCCATGTATAAATATGTGAGAGGAAGCCACAGAGAGGAGGGAGCAAGCTTGTTTTCTGCTCCCTTGGAGACTAGGACGCAATGGAACAATGGCTTCAAACTACAAGAGAGGAGATTCCATCTGAACATGAGGAAGAACTTCCTGACTGTGAGAGCCGTTCAGCAGTGGAACTCTCTGCCCCGGAGTGTGGTGGAGGCTCCTTCTTTGGAAGCTTTGAAACAGAGGCTGGATGGCCATCTGTCAGGGGTGATTTGAATGCAATATTCCTGCTTCTTGGCAGAATGGGGTTGGACTGGATGATGGCCCAGGAGGTCTCTTCCAACTCTAGGATACATTTGATGTAGCAGGAACCATGTGCCTATAATTCATAACAGGAAAAGTCCATATAGAAGTATGTTTTTGAAAGGGAAACAAAAGGGTTCATGGGGAATGATTAAAAACATGAAATTCATGAGAAAAGGTCCAAAAGGTTTCACTGAGCCAGTCAAGGAAGTCCTGCAGTGTTGAGGTTGAGACTTGTCCTTGGCCCTTTGCAGAACTATAAGTTATTATCTCTTATTGGGGGGGGGGGGGCACGCTCGACTTCAGCTTCATATTTTTTGAGCACTGCTAACCTTTCCCCTCCTCTCTTCCAGGGTCCAGGCCCCCCCTGACCTGGGCTTCGAGGTGATCAGTGACCAAGAGGTGGCCGAAATCCAGGAGGCCTATGCCTTGGGGGGGCTGGCGGCGGTGGCGGACCGCGTGGAGGGCAGCCTGGAGGCCCTCTGGAGCACCCGGGTGGATTTGGCCCTTGTCGCGGAGGAGGGAGAGAAGGAGGGGGCCACCCTGCTGAAGGACCTGTGGGAGTTGGAGGAGGAGTCCCCCCCAGAGACCCCAGAGACCCCGCACCCGTTTCCAGGCTACCCTAACGTGACCCTCTGGGAGCTCCCATTGTGTGACCTGAAGGCTATGGACGTGGCCCGCTTCGACGCCTTCCTGCTCCTGTCCTCGGGGCCCTTTGGGGAGGGCCTGCTCCGCCTGGCAAATGTGGTGACCGCTCGAGGAAAGCCCTGCTTCTTCATCTGTTTGGGGGTGGACAGCCACTCGGAGGCCATGCAAGACAAGAAGGCAAAGGAGGACGAGGAGAAGAAGGAGGAAGATGCTCTCTTGGCGGGGCTCCGGGTCAAGTGCCGCTCCCGCCTGACCCAAGCGGGGATCCCCGCGGCAGAGGCGCCTCTCTTCCTGCTCAGCGGATGCCAGTCCCGCCACTCGGACCTCCCGGCCTTGGAGGAGGCGCTGGAGCGAGGTCTCCCAGGACACAAAGGCCAAACCCTGCTCCTGGCGCTGCCCTGCGCCTCCCTGGCCCTGGCTGAGCGCAAGCGGCAGGCCTTGCACCGGGAAGCCTGGAAGGTGGCTCTGCTGTCCAGTCTGGTGGCCACCGTCCCCCTGCCCGGCCTGGCCTCCGCCTGCGACGTCCCGCTCTTGCTGCGCACGCTGTCCTCCTACCGACGGAGCCTCGGCCTGGACGCCGCCTCGCTGGCCCGCCTCTCCGTCCGCTCGGGAGTCCCGCTGCCTCTGCTGCGGAGAGAGGTGCACAGCGCCGTGGGGCGCGGGGTCAGCCAGGAGGCGGTGGAGGGGCTGCTGGCGGGGCAAGGGCCGGGGCACGCGGGGCTGGCCCTGGCCCACCTCCTGGCCCACCGCCTTCCCCTCTGCGGGGCCCTGGCCTCGGGCGGCCTCTCCTTCCACGCCACCTACGCCCTGCTGGGCCACTGCCTGGAGGAGATGGCCGGCGACGCCCAGCGCCTCCTCACCAGGGCTTGGCAGGGGACGCAGGTGGGGCACCCACCCATGTGACCCCCCCCCCCACAGCAGTGAGTGGCTCTTTCCTGGGGGACATGCTCCGCGATGCGGCTTGGCTGTTGTCTGTGGCTTGAGCACAGGCGTGGGCAAACTTTGGCTCTCCAGGCGCCTTGGAGTTTCCCATAGTTGTGGGAGTGTAATTTATTATTTTATTTCAGACACTTCTGCCCTGCCCTTCTCACCCCGGGGGGGACGGGGACGGGGACTCAGAGCGGCTTACAAAGGCACCATTCGATGCCGGCATCAATACAACATTAAAATACAATACAACAATAAAAACAGTATAGCAGCAATTAAACAGTTCAAAATAATTAAACGGTCGGTTCTCAGTTCTGCAACACGCCAATAAACCAGTTTAGCATTCAGCGTTCGCCGTCTCATAGTCCATAGTTTCAATTCCACATTGTCAGTCCTGTTAATTCTAGTTGTCCATTGTCCTTAGCTGCCAGGTTGCCCGAAGGCCTGGTCCCATAACCACGTTTTTAATTTCCTTCTAAAGGAGAGGAGGGATGTTGCTGATCTGATCTCCCCCGGGAGTGAATTCCACAGGTGAGGGCCACCACCGAGAAGGCCCTGCTCCTTGTCCCCACCAGCCTCACTTGTGATAGAGGTGGGGTCGAGAGCAGGGCCTCCCCAGAGTATCTTAAACTCCGAGGCAGGATGTAGAAGGAGATGCGTTCGGACAGGTACGCTGGGCTAGAGCCGTATAGGGTTTTGTAGGTCAAAACCAGCACTTTGAATAGTGCTCAGAACTGGATCGGCAGCCAGTGGAGCTGACACAACAGAGGGGTGGTAGGGAATGTGAAGATCCCTTACCTTGCCAGCCGGGGTGGCAGGGCCTGGGAGAGACAGGCTAGGTAGTTTCAGCTTAGAAGGCCTGGCAGAGGGCAGCAGGAGCCATCTTAGTTTAGGGAAAGCTCCAGTTCAGAGAGGGGGAGTGGCCTAGGCCTGAGCCAGCCCTGAAACAGCCAGGATTGGTTTGTAAAAGGGGGGCGGAGTTAGGACTGTTGGAGGGAAAGTAAGAAGCTTCTTTTAGTGAGTTCAGTTCAGTTCTGGTTGATGTTAGAGTTAGAGCAGGGTGACAGAAGCTATTCGGAGTTCGTGATTAGAATAGGCAGTTTGCCTGAAGTTTGCACAGTGAAATAGCTGTGGCAAACTGATTACAGCTATTTTAGGAAGAAATAGCTGGGTTTTGTAATAGTAACTGTATTAAAGATAGAACCATTCTCTCATGCAACCGTTGCGCTTTTAAGAACAAGAACATTTTAACTGTAACAGCCAAGCTTATGAAACTGCATTCGCTTCATTCTGTAACTTTTATTCAATAAACTTTCCTTGTTATTTTTGAAACTTAAGCCTGATTTAGTCCCTTTTCTTTTTTTAATTTAACCTCATCTGTTTTCCTACAAAGAAGCCTTTTAAAAGACAGTACTTGGTGGTGTTTTAAACAACCTTTTTAACATTCTAAATAGCTAGAGGGTTCCTGTTCGTTTATACTTATGGTGGCAGCGAAGGTTTAAATAAAGAGACATCCCCTCAAGTGTTATCTAAGTGCCAAAGTGGTGTGAATTCCTTATTAAAGGAAGGACAGTTTGTGGGATCTGTTTGCCCCCTGTCCAGTCATATTGTTTGGCCATAAAGCCTGCCTTTATAATTGGGGTCAGATGGTGGGATTGATCGTATTGCCATCTGCCTAGTTATTATAATTTGGTGGCAGTGGTGGGATTGTTTGACCCCCCTGCCCAGACGGCCAATTAGGAGTTATTATAGTGTGCTCCCTGGATGACGCTCCGGTGAGCAATCTGGCTGCCGCTCGCTGGACTAGAAGGAGTTTCCGAACAGTCTTCAAAGGCAACCCCACATGTAAGTCCAAAACACCTGGAGGGCCAAAGTTTGCCCAGGTCTGCTTTGGTGCAATACATCAAATCATTATTATAATTATGTGTGTTTATACCCCACGTTTCCTCTTCATAAAGGAACTAAAAGCAGCTCACAATAAAAGCATTTTCAATATGATTTAAAATACAGAAGTATACAAACATTAAAATAGAAGTCAACATCAACGGTATTGATAAGAAATGATCAGTTATATCTGCTTCACTGCCTGGCTGTTGTCTGAGTGATATTATTATTATTATTATTAATTATGCCCTGCTTTTTCTCTCCACAACGACTCTATGTACTGACTATTGGTGTAGTAGGTTCTTGTGGGTTTTTTCGGGCTATAGGGCCATGTTCTAGAGGCATTTCTCCTGACGTTTCGCCTGCATCTATGGCAAGCATCCTCAGAAGTAGTGAGGTCTGTTGGAATTAGGACAATGGGTTTATATATCTGTGGAATGGCTGGGGTGGGGCAAAGAGCTCTTCTCTGCTGGAGCTAGGTGTGAATGTTTCAGCTGACCACCTTCATTAGCATTTGAAGGCCTGCCTGAGCCTGGGAAAATCTTTTGTTGAGAGGTGTTAAGATGTGTCTGGTTGTTTCCTCTCTGCTGTTTTGCTGTTGTAATTTTAGAGTTTTTTAATACTGGTACTGATGAACCAGCCTGGACACAGGATATTATTTGAGAACACAGAAATGCTGGACCACACCAACAACCACCATGTCAGACTACACAGAGAAGCCATTGAAATCCACAAGAAGCAGGTGGACAATTTCAACAGAAAGGAGGAAACCATGAAAATGAACAAAATCTGGCTACCAGTATTAAAAAACTCTAAAATTACAACAGCAAAACAGCAGAGAGGAAACGACCAGGCACATCTTAGGGTTCCTTTCCCAGTTCTCTTTGGGGTGTCCATGCATACATTGTGAGCCTTGTGAGGCATTGCCACTGGCTGCCACGTCCCTTCGGGCCGCAAGAAGGCGGGAGGCCCAGGAGGCCAAGGCAGGGCGGTCCCTGTGGCCCCTGCAGCCCAGGAGGAAGGAGGTCAAAAGAGCAAGGCCCTGTGCCTTGATTGTGGTAGCCTCCAGTGCCGCCTCATCCCAGGGCGAGACCCGTCCGGCCACATTCCCCTGGCCCTGGCACTGGGGGGGTGGCTGGGCCATTCCACCCTGAAATCGATGAGCAGCTGGAATGCTCTAATGTTGTAGGGACCCACCTCAAAGGGGAGGAGGGCCTTCGTCTGGTGCCAGGCCCCAATGGGAGGGGAGTGGGGCGGGTGTGGGCAGGGCTGGCCCTATATCCAAAACCCAGAAGGGCTCCGGCCCCACAGAAGCCCTTTCTTGCCTTGCCCTGCACCTGCCCAGAGAGAGAGAGAGCGAGAAGGGTCTACCCGCTGACCCCCATGAGGCCCCCGATGGCTCTCGCCTTGGCCCTGCTGGGGCCCCTCCTCTTGGATCCAGGTAAGGCCCACCTCCCCTTGAAGGAAAGTAGCTAGGCACCTGGTCAACCAGGCATGAGCCAAATTCAGCCTTCCCTCCAGGCAGGCCTGTAGCGAGGGGGGGTGTTAGGGGTTCAACCCCCCCCCCCGAAATGTTTCAGATTTTAAAAAAAACTGGTTTACTCATGAATTTTAACTGGTGAACCCAATCCCCCTGCTGCTAAGTCTATGAGATGCAAAAAATTAGGAGTCCCTCCAGAACTGCAAGCACTATCTCAGGCAAATATTGACAATTTATTCACACTGTCATTACTTGCAGCAATAGCCGATGTAGTGAAGCAACCAAGTTGGGTGTGTGTTGTTGAATGCTCTCATTAAGGAGGCCAGACTTGGTGGAGGTGGTTGACAGGGGCGGAGCTGCAGGCTATTGAAGGTTGCTCTGCCCCCTGCTGTGCTCTTTGCTTCAGCGTGAGCTAGGAGGCAGGTTTCAACCCCCCTCCCCGTGAAAATTTCAACCCCCGGTGAAAATTTCAGAACCCCCCCCCGCAAAAATTTCAACCCCCCCTGCGAAAATTTCAAACCCCTGGGAAAATTTCAACCCCCCCCCCGCAAAAATTTCAAACCTCCCCTGTGAAAATTTCAACCCCCCCGTGAAAAATTTAAAAAAAACCTGCGAAAATTTCAGCCCCTCCCGAATTTTTTTTCTGGCTACGGCCCTGCCTCCAGGTGTTTTGGACTTATTTATTTACGACATTTATGTGCCGCCCTTCTCACCCTGAAGGGGACTCAGAGCGGCTTACAAGGTAGGTAAAGGTAAAGGTAGTCCCCTGACATTAAGTCCAGTCATGTCTGACTCTGGGGTGGTGCTCATCTCCATTTCTAAGCCGAAGAGCCAGCGTTGTCCGTTGACACCTCCAAGGTCATGTGGCCGGCATGACTGCATGGAGCGCCGTTACCTTCCCGCCGGAGCGGTACCTATTGATCTACTCACATTTACAAGTTATATATACATACAATATATTATATTATTAGCATAGTACAATATCAGATTTAAATATTGCTATATTGTACTATACCAATTATATTGTAATATTATTAGTAATATTACATGTAATATAAATATATAATTATAATGTATTATTGTTATAATCCTAGAATCAAAGAGTTGGAAGAGACCTCCTGGGCCATCCTCCAGTCCAACCCCATTCTGCCAAGAAGCAGGAATATTGCATTCAAATCACCCCTGACAGATGGCCATCCAGCCTCTGTTTAAAAGCTTCCAAAGAAGGAGCCTCCACCACCCTCCCTCCGGGGCAGAGAGTTCCACTGCTGAACAGCTCTCACAGTCAGAATCAAAGAGTTGGAAGAGACCTCCTGGGCCATCATCCAATCCAACCCCATTCTGCCAAGAAGCAGGAATATTGCATTCAAAGCACCCCTGCCAGATGGCCATCCAGCCTCTGTTTAAAAGCTTCCAAAGAAGGAGCCTCCACCACACTCCGGGGCAGAGAGTTCCACTGCTGAACGGCTCTCACAGTCAGGAAGTTCTTCCTCATGTTCAGATGGAATCTCCTCTCTTGTCGTTTGAAGCCATTGTTCCCTTGCATCCTAATGCATTACATTATATTATAAATATTATATTATATTATTAGAATAGCACAGGAGACAAGGTGGAACTGTCCCCTGGCCTCCCCTCTCTTCACTCTGGCCCAGAGCGACAGTTGTGTTGGGGGGGAGGGGGTCTCCAGCTGATGGAGACCCCTCCCATCCTTCCCCACAGGAATGATTGGAGCCGAAGTCCAAAACTTGTTTCTCAAAGTGTTCTATGTAAAAATTTGCTATGATTGGGCTAAGAAGGCTCCCCATGGCTACCCCATTTTTCTGTTTATACAATTCATTGTCCCACTGGAAGTAGCTTAAATTCCAGTTAATGAGTGTGATGGTGTCTGCTATAGGGACCTTGGTGAATAGAGACACCATATTGAAGCTGATCAGTTTGTCATAGTGAGCCCAATATGGGTTTGTAGTTGTTTGGCCAGAAATTTTGCTGGTTTATATCTGGAGGATCCAATGGTGTTCATGATGGGTCAGACCAGAGTGGAGTCCTATGGATTTTTGGAAGTTCATTAAACTTACGAGGGAGGGCTTTCAGTTTGCATATATGAGCCGTTCAGCAGTGGAACTCTCTGCCTTCCCCGGAGGGAGTGTGGTGGAGGCTCCTTCTTTGGAAGCTTTTAAACAGAGGCTGGATGGCCATCTGTCAGGGGTGATTTGAATGCAATATTCCTGCTTCTTGGCAGAATGGGGTTGGACTGGATGATGGCCCACGAGGTCTCTTCCAACTCTTTGAATCTAGGATTCTATGAAAACACCTGGAGGACCAAATTTGGCCCATGCCGGGCCTGGGTCTCCTCCACCTGGGGTTGGAGCCTTTGAGGCAGGGCCCTGCTAGGAGTCTGTTGTGCTTCAAAACAGAAGAAAAAGGGGAAGCCCCACCATCCAAGCCCTCCTGGCAGATGGCCATCCAGGCAAATATGATAGATTTTATTTTGTTTTGTTTTGTTTATTTGACTTGTATACCGCTTCTCCCAATTTGGAGCGGTTTACAGCAGTAGATTAAAACAATACAATTAACTTTAAAATACAATAAAAATGAGAACAGACATAGTCCCGAGTTATTCACCCATCGAAAGCTTGTCAGAAAAGAAAGGTTTTACAGGTTTTCCGAAAAGCAAGTAGGTCTCGGATGGTTCGGGTTTCATCTTGCAAGGCATTCCATAAATAAGGGGCTATGATCGAAAAGGCTCTCTGCCTAGATGATAAGTCTGGATGTTGGGGATTCAAGCAAATTTTGGTCTTCGGACCGGAGTAATCTCTGGGGTTGGTAGGGGGATAAGCGGGCCCCCAGGTACGCCGGCCCCAGAACATATAAGGCCTTAAAGGTTAGTTCGAGCACCTTGAAAGTAATCCGGAACTCAATCGGAAGCCAGTGCAGCTGTTGGAGAATTGGGGTGATACGACACCTTGTCGGCACCCCGGCCAGAAGACAAGCCACTGCATTTTGCACCAGCTTCAGTTTCCAGATCAGTGACAAAGGAAGGCCAATGTCCAGAGGAGGGCGACTAAAATGATCAAGGGTCTGGAGAACAAGCCCTATGAGGAGCGGCTTAAGGAGCTGGGCATGTTTAGCCTGAAGAAGAGAAGGCTGAGAGGAGATGTGATGAAAGCCATGTATAAATATGTGAGAGGAAGCCACAGGGAGGAGGAGGGAGCAAGCTTGTTTTCTGCTTCCCTGGAGACTAGGATGCAATGGGACAATGGCTTCAAACTACAAGAAAGGAGATTCCACCTGAACATGAGGAAGAACTTCCTGACTGTGAGAGCCGTTCAGCAGTGGAACTCTCTGCCCCGGAGGGAGTGTGGTGGAGGCTCCTTCTTTGGAAGCTTTTAAACATAGGCTGGATGGCCATCTGTCAGGGGTGCTTTGAATGCAATATTCCTGCTTCTTGGCAGAATGGGGTTGGACTGGATGATGGCCCAGGAGGTCTCTCCCAACTCTTTGATTCTAGGATTCTATGACTCTATGAGAGGCTGGATGGCCATCTGTCAGGGGTGCTTTGAATGCAATATTCCTGCTTCTTGGCAGAATGGGGGTGGACTGGATGGCCCGGGAGGTCTCTTCCAACTCTAGGATTCTATGGTTCTATGATTTTATGAATGTAGAGGGTGTAGCAGTAGTCAAGCCTCGAGATGACCGTAGCCAGGTTGTTCCTAGATAGGAAGGGAGGCAGTCGTCTAGCCTGACGAAGGTGGGAAAACGCAGATCTGCTCACAGCCGAGACCTGGGCCTCCATTGTGAGCAGGAGAGGGTCCAAGGAGACACCAAGACTCTTTACAGAAGGTGACGGACGTAGTGTCTGGCCATCCAGGGTAGGCAGCTGGGTCTCCCTCCCACCCGGGTGGCCCAGCCAAAGGATCTCCGTCTTCGCTGGGTTCACCCTCAACCTGCTGGCACGCAACCATCCAGTCACGGCCTCAAGGCACTGATGGAAATTTTCGGGTACGGAGTCCGGCCGGCCCTCCATCCTCAGAATGAGCTGAGTGTCGTCAGCGTACTGGTGGCACTCAAGCCCAAAGCTCCGCACCAGTCGGGCACGCAGTTGCATATAGATGTTAAATAATAGAGGAGAGAGAATAGCTCCCTGCTTGACCCTACAAGTTAGCGGAGATCTCTCGGAAACCATCCCTCCCCTCACCACACGCTGTCCCCGATTCTGGAGGAAGGAGGACACCCATTTAATGTAGATGCAGTATATTTGGAGATATATTTATATTTTGGAAGAGACCCTCACAAGGGCTGTCCAGTCCAGCCCTACAAGAGAGGAGATTCCATCTAAACACGAGGAAGAACTTCCTGTCTGTGTGAGCCGTTCAGCAGTGGAACTCTCTGCCCCAGAGGGATTGTGGTGGAGGCTCCTTCTTTGGAAGCTTTAAACAGAGGCTGGATGGCCATCTGTCAGGGGTGCTTTGAATGCAATATTCCTGCTTCTTGGCAGAATGGGGTTGGACTGGATGATGGCCCAGGAGGTCTCTTCCAACTCTAGGATTCTATGTCAGCAGTGGAACTCTCTGCCCCGGAGTGTGGTGGAGGCTCCTTCTTTGGAAGCTTTTAAACAGAGGCTGGATGACCATCTGTCAGGGGTGATTTGAATGCAATATTCCTGCTTCTTGGCAGAATGGGGTTGGACTGGATGGCCCATGAGGTCTCTTCCAACTCTAGGATTCTAGGATTCTTCTGCCAGGATGGAAGGAAGGAAGGAAGGAAGGCCCCATCCCACCCCTCGTAACAGATGGTGACCCACTTGTCAGGCACACCATATTCTCTGATATATAACTATATATAACCTTCTAGCCCAAGCCCTGCCATGGAAGAAGACACCATCCGAACCCTCCTGACAGGTGGCCTTCCAGACTCTGCTTGAAAGCCTCCAGAGGAGGAGAGTCTATGACCCTCCAAAGGAAGTCTGTTGTTCGGCCGCTCTCTGGGCAACGGCAGCCACCGTGTGTGAGGACTACAGGGGAAAATCACAGTGAGGTCAGCTGGGCTCAAGGGGAGCTCCCAGGGAGGCAAGCGTCCAAGGAAAGAGGGTGCAGCTCCCTTCCAGGTCTGCTTTGGCCCTCGCCTCCGCCTCACCTACAAAAAGGACACAGGTGCGGATGGCAAACCCATCTCTCCCCCTGGAAGCTCTCCCTGAGGACGGCCAGGCTCTGATTGTGATGGATGGACAAGGCTGCGCTGATAAGATGGCTATCTGTCCAGGCCAGGAGAAAGCCTCTGGCTCTGGACTTTTCCACTGAGAGAACAGCCTTCCCTCCTTCTTTCAGCCAAAGGAAGTCGCTCTCGGAGCAGAAGGAGAGCGGAGAGTGCCACTGGCTCCTCTGGGGCCTCCCAAGGGCCATCCAGTCCAACCCCCTCCTGCCCCTCAGGAAAAGCACAAGCTAACCCTCCCGACAGATGATCATCCAGCCATTGCTATAATAGACACACTATAGTCTAGGATTACCATAGATTTGGAAGAGACCCCAAAAAAGCCCATCTGGTCCAACACCCTTTGGCCAGGTGGGAAGACACCATCTGATCCCACCCAACAGATGGCTATCCATCCATAGATGCAGTAGATAGGCTGTATGCTATGACACAACTCTAGCCCCTCCCAACAGATGGCTGCTGATATGATACACTATAATCTATGATATATCTATCATAAGAATCCTAGATTTGGAAGAAAAAGGACAAACAAAGCACTCACAATAAATGGCCCTCCAGCTTCTGCTTAGAAGCCTTCGAAGACAGAGCCCCCACCAAGCACACTGAGGACCAATTAGAGCCATGTGGTACCACCTGATTAAGAGGCCCCGGCCCATTCCTGCCTCTGTATTCTTCCACAGGAACCATTTAGGAAGGAGGGCAAGTAGCCTATGATATCGAGCTACCTTTTAGGAGGGTCTCCCCAGGTGAGGAGATCCCTAGAAATCTCATGCTCTTGGGGAAGGTTCGTGGAAACGGAGGTGGTTGGCAGTCCAAGTCAAGCAGCAGAGAGTCATTTCTCCCAGTAGAAGTCAGCAGATGGGCGCTGGGTTGACGAATAACAAGGTCCATCGCTCAGTCCTTGGGGAACTATAACTCCCTCCCAAGGACTGGGTCTCCTGCCCGGCCCCCTCTCCAAGGTCTCCTGGGGGCATCCACAGTGAGTCCCCGGTTGCAGGGCTAAGCAGGAACGAGCGGCAGCAAGGAGAAATGGGCTGTTTGTGCAGAGCCGGCGGAGTTTTGACAATCAGCTGTTTTCTGTCAAATTATATTACTTAAAACAAAATAATTATTTCCCGGGCATAGGGATCCAAATCGAGAAAAGCGAGATAGCAGTTTGATTAGGAATTAAGCACAGAAAAATATGAAATTGAAACGGGGCCGATCCGCCATTTTGAGATTTTAGCGGATACAGGGGTCCAATAGGAAAGACTCCGTATCTGTGGTTTTAACGGACGCAGATTCGGCCTCCCTGGGACGCCCAGAAGGCATCCCAGGTGGGCTCACGGCTGCCCGGAGCCCGGAAAGTTTATTTCAAGTTTGAGTTAGTTTGAGGCAGGGGAAGATACAATGTATCAAGCAGAGAGGTTAAAAAGTTGCAAGTTTCAAGTACCCAGAAGGAGGTTTTGTTACAAAGTAAGGAGAGGGGAAAGTAAAAGGAGACTGGATGCAGTTCTGGCTTTGAGCTGCCTGTTGGGGCACATTTCATCAGTTGGTCCCAAACTTGGCTTCCAGGAACTGCGGAACTCTCCGCTGCAGTTCACACCAACTTGAAGGGGGGGTCTCTGCCGCTGTCGGGGACACCTATATCTACTTAAAGGTGACAAGGCCCCGCTGGTGGCTCAGCCGAAGCATTATCCCTCATTTTGAGGATCTAGGGTGGGAGGCTACGCATTTGCACTGTGAAATGTATCCGAGACCCTATCCCTGCCTTCCCTCCTGTGCACCAGACTCTCTGGAAAGAGAGAGGGAGGGAGGGAAGGTGGGGGCTGCTCAGGTGCGCCCTGCTCAGGTGTGTGCCTCCTCCTTCCTCTCTCCCTCCTTTCCTCCGCAGGTGAGGCCATCTTGTGCTACAACTGCACCAGCCCCACCGGCTACAACTGCAGCACCGCCCAGCAGACCTGCCCTTCCTCGGTCAACAGCTGCATCACCATCGCCCGCATGGAGCATGCAGGTGAGAACGAGCGCTTTCCTTCCTAGAAGGGCAGCAGAGGGACAGGCCCACTTGGCCCTTTGCTCTGCACTTGGCATCTGTGAAGGAATGCCGGAGTTCCGCTCAGAGGCGGCCCTAGGTAATTCTCAACTGTAAGCAAACAGTATTTTGGTGCCCCAACCAATCACTGATATATATTTTCTGTTTGTCGTGGGAGTTCTGTGTGCCATATTTGGTTCAATTCCATCATTGGTGGAGTTCAGAATGCTCTTTGATTGTAGGTGAACTATACATCCCAGTAACTACACTTGCCGCACTTGCTCCCTTGCCTGGCCCGCTTTGGGTCCGGAGGCGTTCCTGAAGACCCCGTGTGCACCAAAAGTCACCTCTTCTCCTGACTTTCTCCTCAGCCATTGGGACCAAGAGAGAGAGAGAGAGAGAGGTGGAGATGCCCACCTTTCCTGAAGGTAGGTGCAAAAACAAAGGAGGGAGCGGAGGTGGGAGATACCTCCACCCGGAGGGGCTCTCTCTCTCTCTCTCTCTCTCTTTCTCTCTTGGTCCCAATGGCTGAAGAGAAAGTCAGGAGAAGAGGCGACTTTTGGTGCGCACGCTGGGGTCTTCAGACACGCCTCCGGACCCGAAGTGGGCCAGACGCGACGGCTCCGCCCCTTGGCCCACCCGCGGATTGGGGAGAGGAGAGGAGGCGGGTGGAGCGCCGGGGGATCGGGAAAGGGAGCCGGTCATGGGGAAGGGATCGAACGCGGAGAACGATTGAGCTCCGGCTCTGCTCGCGCACCCGGTGGCCGGGTGGAGCAGGAACGAGAGGGGCTAGGCGAGGCTCAAGGGCCCGGCCCCTTTGGGAAGAGGATCGCCCGGCAGCGAGGCAAGAAAGCCGAGGCTCCCCCCGGACTGCTAGGGCTGTTGTGAGCTGAGGGGGCGCTCCTCAAGTGGCGGTCGAGGGGCATTTACAGAGGCGCCTCTGCACCCCTGGCAAAAAAAAGTGTTCTGCGACCGCTTACTTCGCGTAATGGACGAGCCGCCCCTGGTCCCGCTGAGCAGAGCACTGTGCTGCCATCCCTAGGAGATGTTCTTCCCCACAAATGATAGCAGCGGTTCTTCTTCTGTCTTTGGAGCTGGAGGGAAGGCCTTGCAAGGGGACCCACACAGCACGGCCTTCTTGGGCGGGAGCCTATTGAGCAGGCTTGGGCAAACCTCAGCCCTCCAGGTGTTTTGGACTGCAACCCCCTTGCAGCCAGGCTCCACACCGGAAAGAGATCCTTGAGTGGGAGAGCTAATGGCTTGCCTTCCTTCCTTCCTCCCTTCCTTCCTTCCCTCCTTCCTTCCTTCCTTCCAGGGGACCAGGACTTTGAAAACCCAACCTATGAGAAGAAGTGCAATTCAGATGACCGCCTCTGCAACCAGTTCTATGGGCTGCAGGCCGGCGATTTCCACATGCGCTGGAACTCCAGCTGCTGCCGCTTTGACCGTTGCAACTCCCAGGAAGTCATTGGTAGGCCTTAGAATTGTCTCATGGGGAAGGGGTGCCTGGGGTTCACCAGGAGGCTGGACGGGGCAGAGCCTCGTGATGCTCGAGGCTGGATGTGGCCTGGGATCTGCCGCCTTTGGGCCTTAGCTGAGAGGATGCGGGTTTTCTGGGTGGGCCGGCCGCAAAATGTTCTCCAATGCAACATCAAAGCTTGGGGTTGTTGCTCTCCGCATGCCCCTCTGCTGTTGTCCTTCTAATGAAGCGCTTGGTGCCTTATTTATTAATTAATTGATTATTTATTCTATTTCTATACCGCCCTTCTCAGCCCTAGGGTGACTCAGGGCGGTTTACAAAACCGGCACAATTCGATGCCACAATAATATAAACAGCTAAAAGCATATAAACATCCTTAAAATTCCATAAACAATAAAATCAATAAAACATAAAACCTCTGTATATAATTTCCAGAATCTTTATCCGATGGCAATTTTCCAGCCATTCTGAGGTCAAGTATTTATTTACTACATTGCATTTGAGAAAGCCTGCTCACAAAGCCAGGTTTTGACTTTTTTACGAAATATTAAGAGGGTAGAGGTCAATCTAATGACTCTGGGAAGGGCGTTCCATAGCTGAGGAGCCACCACTGAAAAGGCCCTGTCTCTCGTCCCCGCCAACCGAACCTGTGAAGAAAGTGGGACAGAGAGCAGGGCCTCTCCAGAAGATCTTAATTTCCTGGATTGTGTCAGAGTTTGGCGGTGCACAGCAGAAGGATTGCTAGATCAGCAGACACTGTGTTGCAAAATAAGGACTCTGCAGGCTTTGAGTTACAAAAGAAACTAAGTTTACTAAGCACATTCAATAGACACGTCTTACTACAGCGAGCTACAATTCAGGAACTAGTCAAAACGAAAGTCTCTTCACATCTGCTTATCTTCTCTCTTGCTGAGACTGGCTACTCCCTTCTGTTCCCAGCAAGAGCAAAGCTTATCTTACTTCTCTCAAGGTTACACAATCACAGCCTCATGGTATGGACATTCTGCACAGCATTTCTAATACACAGTGGAATCCATCTTGGAAATACATAGAAGCACATTTAAAACACATACATAACTAAATTAATCCTGACAGATTGTTCATAAGGAGAGATACGTTCGGACAGATAAGCAGGGCCGGAACCATTTAGGGCTTTATAGGCTAAAGCCAGCACTTTGAATTGTGCTCATGTCATGTCCCATGACACTGTCATGGGACATCCACTCTGGGTTGCAGTGCAAACATTAAAGGTGCCTTTGAGCACATCAGCCCTCTGGGCAAGTCATCTGTGGTCAGGCCCAGGGCGGATTCCCTGCACGACAGACCCGCCAGCTGCTGGCCCCAAGAGCCCAAGCCTTTCAAGACCCACTGCACATTTTCAGGTCACCCCTGGAGGCTGCCCCAACCACTGCCACAAGAGGTGCAGCAGCAGCAGTAGCAAGAGCCATTTTCTCCTCTTTGACTTTCTCTCTCTTTGCAGTGCAAAGAGCATCCCAGAGGCCCAACGGGGTCCGCTGCAGCTCCTGTTTTTCTCGGGGCACGAACTTCTGCTCAAACCAGACACGCGTCGCCTGCACTGGGCTCCTGACGCACTGCATCCACTTCTCCACCTCTGCAATGAAAGGTAGGAGATGGCGGGAATGCGACAGAGGGGCTCCTGGGAAAATAAGGCCATCCTTACCTCTTAATATTAAAACAAGCATTGCAAGATAGTTGTACCCACATTTGTGGTGGGGGTGTCCCAAAATGTTTTTTTTCTTCTCCTCGCATAATAGTCGCACCTCTATTTGTGGCTGATTCTTTCTTCCTCCCTCCCTTCTTTCTTTCTGTGAGGAAAGGCAGTTTAAAACTACAAAATGGAGGCATTAATGTGCCTTGTTATTAATCTTGCGTCAGGGTCAGGAGTCAAGGGAAGTTGGGTTGGGATTGTCCCAAAATATTTTTTTCTCCTCGCATAATAGTCGCACCCCTATTTGAGTCCAATCCTCCCTCTCTTCCTCCTTTCTTTCTGTGAGGAAAGGCAGTTTAAAACTACAAAATGGAGGCATTAATGTGCCTTGTTATTATTCTTTCATCAGGGTCATGGGTCAAGGGAAGGTGGGGTGGGGGTGTCCCAAAATATTTTTTCTTCTCTTCGCATAATAGTCGCACCCCTATTTGAGTCCAATCCTCCCTCCCTCCTTTCTTTCTGTGAGGAAAGGCAGTTTAAAACTACAAAATGGAGGCATTAATGTGCCTTGTCATTTTTCTTGCATCAGGGTCAGGGGTCAAGGGAAGGCCACCTTCACCTGGGAAGAGACACAGGTGCTGTGTCATGGGGGGATCATGTGGGGAAGGGGCCCATTTCACCCAGGTAACCCTTGTCTACCCTTCCCTCCATTTCCCTGCAGAAGAATTTGAGGATGAGCAGGTCACCTTCATGGGATGCGCCACCAAGAACTTTTGCGACATGGGAGCTGTGGCCCTCTTCGCCTCCAGCCGGAACGTGGTGGTCAAGGACAACGTGTGCAGCCGAGGGCCGGGCCCCTTGACCCCGAGTGGTGGGGCCCTCTCCCTGCTGACCGTGCTGCTGCTGTCCCTCTGGGATCTCTAGGCCTGAGTCCCTCTGCTCCATACTCTCCTCCTCCTCCTCTGGGACCCCCACTTCACTTTGGAGCCACTTCCAGGGGACTCTGTCCAGAGGAGGGGAAGACCTGGCCCTGAGGGTCTCCTGGAGGGAGGAGGGAAAGGGCTGCCACCCTCCCCCAAGGGGTGGGAAGGGGTTTGCATGCAGCGTTGATAATCAATAGATTAAAGAGTGTTAAGTCAGTTGCTTCTAGGGTGACGGGGGCCACATTTCAAACAATCATGCTATATTTAAGCCAGCACTCAGTGTTTCATTGTACGAAGACACTAAACCTCTTGGTGGAATAATAAAGGTGAAAAATCCCACCTGAGCCTTCATTGCTCTCATGTTCTTGCTCTCCTTTCTCGCTGCCATGAGATTGGGGTGGGCATCTCTTGGTTCCTGGGGTCAGGTTTGATGGGTCTCAGGGAACTTCTCTGCATTGGCTAGTCCTTGGTATGAAAATGGGGGTGTTTTAAGGAGTACTTGCTCCACGGACAGCGTGGCTGCAGTGCCACCCGAAGTAGGACCCCCATTGCATTGGGCATTTCATAAAATC